AAGGAGAAATTTAGCTGTCTTATTGCACTTGAAGTCATGTATAAAATTACATTCTTCCTTATATTTACCATATTATCATTACTCCCGTCGATGTTTCACAAAACAGCGATAAAGAAAGAAGAATTCGCAAAACAAAGAAGTGGTGATGCAGAGTGTGACAGAAAAAGAGAGTCAATTTATGGGGAGATTTTGGGTATTTTATAGGGTACTTTTCAATGTAGAAGTTTTTTCCTTCCAAGACTTATCTTCTTCTAGATTTTACTTTTTGATATTTTTGCTTTGAATATTTGTTATTCGAAATTTTTAGTTTTCGGTCAATATCATTAGTTTCGATACAAATAAACATTTTGTTTTTATCCTTAAAATACATGTCAAGGAAAAGCGAAAAGTATTTTAAAATGAAAGAAAATTTTTAAGAAGATGGCGAAATAAATCTAAGCTTGTTATTGTCTGACACATACTTACAGAATGCTAGGTGAGTATTTTGTCGCAAAATATACTGTCTATGTAGTGAATATAAATATAGATTTTCCTATGTTTTATCAGCCTCATCTTCTTAGTTTATCCGATGTAAGCCGACAGTCAGCCGTTAATTTTATTCCCTCGCTCATCTCAGCTTATAACTGTATTAGTGTATTACTTTTATGTTAACAATTCGCATAAACATATATTTATTATCAACGATCTCCCCAATGATAGTTCACCTCACTTATTCATACATAATACTACCAGAAGTATGAATTGTCTTTACTATTTCATTCATTAACATTTATATAAGTATTTAGTTAAGTTAATCGGAGCAAGCACCAAATTTTCTAATGAGTTAAGTTAATCGGGGCTGGTATGAGCTTCAGAAATTTCTGGGTGGAAATGGAGGGGAGAGCCGCGGTCTTATACCCGATTTTCGTCTTCCTGTTTGGTTTTCTAGAGCACCGATAAAGAATTTTGGCATGTTCTAGGCAACCAAGTCGATTTCAGATCGACAGTTCATTCAGATAGACAGATCTGCAGTTTTCGTTTCCCTGTTTTTCACTTTTGTGCTTTGTTTCGTCTTTAATAAAGACTTATTGGATCTTCAAACAGTTGTAAATTTCCCAACCGTACAGGAGGAGTGTGCTCAAGCTAACCCTGGTTAATATTGCCTCAAAAGTACAAAGATAGAACTCTTTTCTGACGAATATCTGTTGAAGACGATGTGTACGATGAGAGGTAACAGATTTAGTTTCACAAGTTGTGCAGCACCACTTTCAGATGACAAGAAACTCTGAAATATTTTTGCAAAAAATACGAAAAGAAATAGTCAATTGTTTATCAGACAACACTACAGGCTGAAAAGGTCCAACTTGTTCTGGTTTGATGCCTGATCGAAACGATTTCGGTCTTTGGTAAACACGTTTAAGAGTAAATAAAAGAAACGGATGGAATCATCTGAATTAAAGAGCTCCATAGAAAGTAATGAAACAAGTAAAAAAGTAAATATGTTTCTCTTTGTTTTGTGAAAAAACCACTCATAATCAATCAACTTGAAAAAAAGAGAAAATAATCTTTTTCTCATAGCAACAAAAATAATGCGGGGTAACACAAAGAAGCTGAACATAATTGCCGCTATTGTTCTCACCTATGCGTTATTTAATAAATGAAGAAAAATTGGTTCATTCCACATTTTTCATCACTCTAGGACAAATTTGTCCACACTCCTCAACAAATACGTATCTTCTTCGAGAAAAACCAAGCGCAACATAGCCCCTATACACTTTAAAATGCGCATAGTTTCATATAAGAACATAATTGGCAAAGGAGAAGAGATTCATTAATTTGCTTCCTAGTAAAACTCTCTTCGATCGTTCAGCGTGACCTTCGATTTTTGTTATTCATATACTACATTTCGTCTGATCATGCGATCAACAACCATATGTTTTTTTCTAACGAAATGAACGAATGAAAGAAAAAATTCGAAGTGTATTTACAAGATTATGCTTACTGAACAAAATACTTCCCCCATACGTTTTTATCACGAAGAAAAACATTTTATTTAAGCATTATTCTTAATTTAATGCAATATGGTTGCATACACTCATCATATTTTAAAAATATGCTGTTTGTTCTGTTGCTGAAATCATTTCTCCTTTTTCTTTCCTTAAATTTAAACAATCCTTGACAATGCAAACGAATTTCCTACTAATTTGAAATTTGGGAATATTTTTAGTTTGTATAAGTCTAATGATTCACAGTTGCCAAGAAGTTATCGACCTATCACACTACTTCAACGCATATCTGAAGTTTTTGTGAGCATTGTACATAAGCATGTTTATGGGTTTTTATGTTCTTCTAAATATTTTAATCAAAATCAGGCGGGTTTCTTGAAAGAACATTCAATGATAAGTCAGCCAGTAAGAATTATTCATCGAATAGCTACTTCTGCCCATAAAGGAACTCAAACTCTGGCTACATTTATAGCCTTGATACAGTGAACTATGCTACTTTGCTGTATAAGTTATATAGTTCTGGAATTTCTAATTCATTACTGAAGTGGTTCGGGAATTACTTAAGAAATCGTTAAGTCGTTACGATGGTTGATATCTCTCTTCCTAAGGCTATTTCTTGTTCTGTTCCTCAAGAACCAGTGCTTGACCCGTTATTAATTTTCGTATATATAAATGATCTGTCTGATGCACTAGTTCATACTTATTATCTATTTACTGATACATACATATATTATTACAATATATTACATATACTGATGTTAATACTGCTGTTCTAAAGATGAATCGTGACCTAAAACGAGTACATAAATAGTCTACGGACTGTTTTTCACCACTTAGTATAAAGAAATGTGTGGCAATGTTTTTTTCTAGAAATAAGTACCAAAATCTTCCTGTATTAATCATTAATACTACTATTCTTCCATATGTACATCAACACAGACATTTAGGCTTAATTTTGACAGTAAATCTAAATTAGATACCTCATATTAATTCTATTTTAAGTTCTTGTTCAAAGACTTTAGTTTCATTACAATATCTGAGTTGTTTTACATCTCGAAAAGCTCTTAATTTAGATTATAATGGTTTCTATTGAGTAAAGTTAAGTATGGAAGTATCAAGCTTTTATTGTGGTACCACTAATAAAAACTTATCCCATTTAAATTCTCTACGACGCAACCCTGTCTTTACTGTGAAAGGAGCGATGAGAGCAGCATCTCATGAAACGGTATGCTCTGAGCTTGGACAAACTCTTTTTCTCATTAGTAATACTTCTAAGTCTTAAAGTGCATACAATCACTTTGAAATTCATTGGCTATGCGTTTTCTTCAAAATTATGAAGGGTAATGTCTATATGGAAGACTTATTGCCACCCCAACAGACTCATTCTCATAGTATATTTACGCTTTTCATCAGACAGCGCTTTTTACAGTGTGTTAAAAAGCACCATCTGATGGGTAGTTTATTTAATATATATTTATTTACGCAATATATATATTGAGTAAATCATAGCAAAAATGCAATGCTCACAGCTTACTGGTAGGATCAGCTTGAAGTGGTAGGTTCCGTCAGAGACAGAGTCTGTCGACATCGCAACTTGTGCGAAGCGCAATTGCAATCTAGCTTCTATCAGGAACTTTGGTTCATTATTTTGAATTAGTTTAAAAGTGATCCAATTTGATAATATTCAACTTCAAGAACTAATTCGGCAAGGTCTTAATTAGTTTTGAATTTGAATTCTATAATGGTACATACAATCAAAATTATTATCGTGATCATGCTGGTATAGGGCGGTCAAAAAAAGATTATCTCCTTATGAAATATAATTTTTGCACTTATAACACTCAGTTTTTGAATCTTTTGTAATAGATAGAGTTGAGAAAAATCAACTAAATAGAAGTGTTTTTATTTTGAAAACATTCCACCATAAATGAAGACAAAAGAGAAATTCATTAAATTTGAAATCTGTTCCGGAGCAAATTCTTTACTATTTTTCGACCCTTTGGTTAAAATTCAATAATTTAATAACGAAACAGTTTTATGACTTGAAATTTTCAGGCTGTATTCTAGGTGTTAATCAGTAAAGTAAGTAGATAGTAAATTGTTTTCAAATTTTTACAAACTTTTTATGTCTTTCATTTTGCATAGTAGATTATTATACTTCTTTCAACGCAATAAAACACGAACTAACCACTTATCAAATGAAAAAAGAATAGGACAAAAGTTGTAAATCTGATTAATATATAACTAAAAGGGAGTTTGTAAAATGTTGTACGTTTCAGTTTTCACACTCAGACGAGATTAAAAATGATTTTTTTAAGTCAAATACTGTGTATTTATTTTGTTGTTGAGATTGTAAAATCTGCTCAAATAAATCGTAATATAATAATTGATGGAAATTTTGATGATTGGTTAAATGTTCAATCTTACAGTGATCCACAGGATAACATAGATGGTACAGTTTATCAAGAAAGTCCTTGGTTTTCTGCATTAAAAATTCCCGATTGTCATGATGGAACTCATATGGGTAATGAAAATATACCAAAACATATTTATAATCCAAACGTTGATATAGTTGAATTTAAAATAGCACACGATGATAAATCATTGTACATTTATTTTCGTGTTGCTGATGGTGGAATTATTGGTAAAACTTCAGTTGGATCGGGTAAATTTGATGAAAATAATCCATCAAATCCTTCACCTGGAAGATTTTATGTAATAACATCAATTAATCTTGATATGAATGAACAAACAGGCTATTGGTTAAGTGAAGGTGGATATTATCCAACTGCACCTGGACTTGATGGAAATTTTGAACTTGAATTTTATAATGGTACATACAATCAAAATTATTATCTTAATCATGCTGGTAATAGTACGAATGAACTAAATTATACAAAAGAACAAAATAGACAAAATCAGTTTATATTAGGTACAAATTTTTATAGTTATTACACTCAATATATTTATTGGGATCATCGGCCAACTGAAAATGAAATCAAAAAATGTTTATTTGGATTCTATGAATTACCTAGTCCAAATAATAATAATTTTATTTGTTTTTCTCAAGATGATGCACCCGGACCGTTCAATGGTATTCTAAGTTATGCACAAAGTGAAAAAGGTAACGAATTGGAAATTCGAGCTCCATTTCAGGGATTTTTATTAAACAAAAATACAGGTGAGCCAACTTTACAATTAGGAATGACAGTGAATATATCATTAACATTAGAGACAAGTCCAGAATATTCATTACCACAAGAATGGTGTTCGGATTCAGCACCAACAATTCAATATACACTCTCACTTGGTCACAAAAATGTTCCTTTTTTCATCATTTTGTTTCTTACTCTCTTATTTTTACAAATTGTAAATGTTTAATGCAGGCCCACTTTTCCAGTGGTGCTTATTTTAATAAGAACAACGTTCTAATTAATCAACACAGACATTTAGGCTTAATTTTGACAGTAAATCTAAATTAGATAACTCATATTAATTCTATTTTAAGTTCTTGTTCAAAGACTTTAGTTTCATTACAATATCTGAGTTGTTTTACATCTCGAAAAGCTCTTAATTTAGATTATAATGGTTTTCTATTAAGTAAAGTTAATTATACAAGTATCAAGCTTTTATTGTGGCACCACTAATAAAAACTTATCCCATTTAAATTCTCTACGACGCAACCCTGTCTTGACTGTAAAACGAGCGATTTTCGAAAAATCAAATATCTATCCAGGGCTCAGAAAATTAAAATATAAACCACTCTCATCAAAAAAGAATCTAAAAGATTACCGGACTCGAAATGGACTCGGACTCGGCTGACTCGACTTTTAAGCACTCTGTTTGAACTTGCAACTCGTCCATGCCTGAATCTTGATATTATTCACATTTGGGATTATAAGACACCAATATTTCTATCATTTAGTATTAGTTCATGCCATGGAAAATTATTATTATTAAATATATTCTGAGCAATCAGAACAAAGTAGTTATTTTCAAGAGACAATCGATATTGATTTTGGTTTTAATCATAATCCAAAACGTCAACTGAATTTAGATGATACACACCGTCAAATGTCATTAGAAACACTTCAGAAATATGCCAGTTTGTTCGATGGTTTTATAATTAATATCGGAAAAGAATATTTTGAACAAAATCGTGATAGAATACAAACATATTTGACTTCTATACCAGATAACAAATTAAAGATGATATTAATTCGAGATGTACAACAAGAACAAACATGATTATGTGAAACAATTCATATCATCAACACTTCCATAAGTCACATCGTTTGTTCTACCAAATCTTAGTAATATGAATGATAATAGAACTCGATTCACAATGAATGATGTGTATAAAATTCTTCGACAATTTTCTCAATAACATCACTCATTGTTTTATTGACATAAATTAATTCACCAGCTTGTATCAAATCTGTCAAGCGCAATGATGAGATTTGAATACAATCACACAACACTAAACGTTCTGTTGTCGTTTGTTCAAGCTTCGTAACAAATAGTGTTGCTGTTGCTAATTGATTTGATGAGAAACGTTTTTCCATTTGTTCTATTAGTAATTTAAATTTAATCAGTGGTAATAAACTTTGACATTTATTTATACTAGGTATGCACCGAGCTGCGAGTTACCCGAAAACTCGATTCGAGCTACTCGCAATTCGAGCTACCTGAAACTGGAGCTACCCGAAATTCGAGCTACCCGAAATTAAAGTGTTTTTTTCCTGATTAGGTATGCACCGAGCTTCGAGTTACCCGAAAACTCGATTCGAGCTACTCGCAATTCGAGCTACTCGCAATTCGAGCTACCTGAAACTGGAGCTACCCGAAATTAAAGTGTTTTTTTCCTGATTATGTATGCACCGAGCTTCGAGTTATCCGAAAACTCGAATCGAGCTACTCGAAATTCGAGCTACCCGAAATTCGAGCTACCCGAAATTCGAGCTACCCGAAATTAAAGTGTTTTTTTCCTGATTAGGTATGCACCGAGCTTCGAGTTATCCGAAAACTCGAATCGAGCTACCCGAAATTTGAATTACTCGAAATTCGAGCTATCCGAAAATTTAAAACTACACAGTTAGTTTCTTGTTTATGAAGGTAGTTTTACACTCCCATAAAGCTACTTGCTCATATCACCGCTGTCTAGTTGATTGTGACATCTAGCCCTGGGGAAGCGAAAACGGTCAACTTT